AACTCCTTGTTGGACGAGCTTTTGGAGAAAATGAACGAAAATCGAAATAAAAAAGGTGTTTTCAGCTTAATTCTACGAAGGGAACCAACTTGATATAAATTGGAAGATCAAGGGCTTGAATTGCACTTAGGTCGCCGACTTCAAAATCTCGTTTTCTTACCTTCTGATTGTAGTACCTTGCGTTACGTTGTTTGTATATGACATTTCTAATCTCAGCTTCGTTTCTCTTTTCTTCGAGTAGATCCAACTCTCCTCGTAGTACTTTCTCATTCTTATCCTCATTATACATCAATATTTGGATAGAAGGGACTTCTATTTCAAGAGGGATAACCGATCCACTCTGAAAGCCAAAGAGAAAGAAGTTTTTCCAATACTGCTTCGGGTCGTGGTACGATAGGACCACAACACACTAGGAAGCTCCTCAGCCCATCCTCCCTTAAGAGCATCAAGCCTGGCTTTTAGCGTATGTTTGATGATCTTATTGATTGGTTCTACTTGTCCATTGGCTTGATGATGATTAGGTGAGGACAAGTGCCTTCGTATCCCTAAGCTTTCACTTAAATTTGAGAAGCGGGAGTTATCAAATTGTTTCCCATTGTCTGTTACAACGAAATGTGGTATTCCAAATCGGCATATGATAGATTTCCATATAAACTTCATGGTTTTGTGCTCGGTTATTTTGGTTAGAGGTTCGCTTTCCACCCATTTGGTGAAGTAATCAACTGCTACAATTGCAAATTTTGTTCCTCCATTTCCTGTTAGCATAAGACCGATCAGATCGACCCCCCATTTGGAGAAGGGGCATGGAGCCATTACGCAGTTTAGCTCATTTGGCGGGAGGATGATCCTAGGAGCAAACCTTTGACATTTGTGACATTTCCTGGCAAATTCCAAGGCATCCTTTTTTATAGAAGGCCAAAAATATCTGTGGCGCACAATTTTGTGTGCTAGTGATTGTCCTCCAGCATAGTTTCCACATATTCCTTCGTGCACTTCCTTCAGGGCATGCAGTGCCTCTTCCTCATCTAAACATTTAAGCAAAGGTACAGAATAACCTCGTTTATATAGGATACAAATTACATATTATTGAATCTTATATCGTCTTTGGTCGTATGTAATAACGAGATACGAATATCGTTATTACGGATAGACCATCATGTGTGACATTTCTTACTTGCGAAATAAGTAGCTGATCTCATAAGTTAAAGAGTCGTGACACTTAAATGAATACGCGAATGTTTTGTTATAGAACAAAATATTGGAGACCGCTGTGGAGATTTTACATGGATAACTATCTGAGTGTCAGTGATTGATTTCTAACGTTCGGTAGTGAAATTGTTCATTTGACTTAAGGTCATCATAGTGTCTTATATGATGACAATCATACTTTGGTAATGTTGGATGTTGCTCTACCAAGGGTCGCTAATACGTCATCGTTCAGGTATGTCAATAATTATGTGAAGGTTGCGAATGATCATTAGAGGATTCGTCACTCTTATATAACAAGAGATTATGATCTACATATTATCCAGTTAAGTTGATAATGAAATCCCTGGCCAATGTGAAATCATAAGTCGAAAAGGAGTTTTCAACTTACATTGACTTAATAGTGTGATAAAAGATATGATCGATAATTGAGATTGACACATATCCATATCTCGTAATTGATCGGATCATATTGACGAAATGATTATAATTTTACAGGAAACGAACAAGTTTTATTTTGTCATACCACTTGACATATTCCGTCACATGTATTGCCCTGACACATTACTAGATATCAATTTAGGACGACGAATATGAATTAGTGAGAAATTAAACGGCTGTTTTAATTTATCGATTTTGATTAGATCAAAATAATAATTCACGTCGTTAAGTATCGTGATTGAGAACCTAATGGACCACACACAAAAGAGAACTAGAAGAATGAGATTTACCAATTAATTAATTAGCAAGTGTTGGATAATTAATTAATTGTGTTGCTTATTAATAGGTTCGAATT